CAATAAATACATGCTGTCATATTTTTGGCAGGATTTCAAGTTAAAATAAATCTGTCTCAGCCCTGAGTTATTATTTTTATTGTCACTTTTTATGGCTGCATTAATTACCACACACACTGTGAGGGGTGTGTGAAATTAATTGTTTTTATAAACTAAGTTAAAGGAAGGGCTAATGCAGAGTGACTGAGCTTTGTCATGTGGACTTACTTCAACAGAAGGGTGGACAGGCCACCCTGTGAGCTTCAGCTGACGGTTATTTTAAATGTCACCTGGACATGCATTGTGTTCTTTGTAGTCACTTGCACAGCCCTTTTTACTTTTGGTTTCTTGAAAACATCTGTGAGTTACAGTTTTTAAGTTCTTTGTCTGCTAAATTGAAATGATTCAGAGATCATTTTTAAATGAGCAACTATTAGCTTGCTCAGGCTGCTATAACAAAATATCACAGACTGGGTGACTTACACAACAGAAATTTATTTTCTCGCCATTCTGGAGGCTGGAAGTCCAAGATCAAGGTGCTGCAGTCTGGTTTCTCCTGAGGCCTCTCCCCTTGGCTTGCAGATAGATGGCTGCCTTCTCACTGTCCTCATGGGGCCTTCCCTCTGTGCACCTGCATCCTTGTGTCTTTTCTCCTCCTTATAAGGACACCAGTCACATTAGATTAGGGCCCCACCTAACAGCCTCTTTTTAACCTAGTCACCTCTTAAAGGCCCTATCTCCAAGGTTATGGGAGTTAGGGCTTCAACAAATGAATTTGGAGAGACCACAGTTCAGCCCACAGGTGCACTTTTAATCAAATTCTAATGGACATGGGAAGGGGGTGAATTTAAAAAACAATAACATTTAGTGGGACAATTATTTCATTATTCTTTGGCAAAACAAAAACTCTAGCCAGTTTTGCTCAGTGACTAGAGTGTCGGCCTGCGGACTGAAGGGTCTTAGGTTCAATTGCGGTGAAGAGCGCATACCTAGGTTTCAGGATGATCCCTGACCCCAATGGGGGCGTGTGGGGAAGGCAACCAGTCAATGTGTCTCTCTTGCATCGATGTTTCTCTCTCTCTGTCTCTCCCCCTCCCTTCCATTCTCACTAAAAAAATCAATGGAAAAAATGTCCTCTGGTGAGGATTATAAAACAAAACAAACAAAAAAACCCATTTATTTCAATAGAGTAGTAAATTATCTTAAACGTGCTACAGATTTTATTTTCAGTCTCCATTTCTTAAGGTTTGGCATCCTACATAACAGAAATTTTGATAAGCCACCTGCAAATGGTATTTTTGTTTTCTTGTTTTTAAATTGAGTCCAAAGTGAGGGAAATCCCCCAAAGTGAGGGAACCACCCTCAAAGAAGAAGCTGAAATTTACAGCAGAATGAGCCTTGGGTCCACTGAGGCAGAGAGCGACCTGGTGTCTCTTCCTTTTCTTATTAGGACACCAGTCACACTGGACTAGGGCCCATCCCAGCAGCCTCATTTAATCCAAAACGCCAGTGGGAAGCTGGGCACTCAGAGGCCAAACCCATGGAGAAAGGGTGGGGGAAAGCAATCTGGCTGTGGGATGGTGAGGGAGCTGCTCTGTTTCAGATGGAGAAAGTGTCCTTGGGAATCTGAATGCAGGCCTGCCTTTACATGGGCTGTGAGTTCAGATTTGCACTTTCCCAGTTCCTGAGGAATCTGACATAAAAAAAGTTTCCAGGTGCCTGTACTCCTGGCCCGACAGAGCTCCTGCAGCATCCCTCCAAAGGATGCTGCCTGCATGCCAGGCCCAGAGGATCCCACAGCTGAAGCCCTACTGGAAACAGCTCATAACCCACAGTCACCCAACAGGAGAGTCAGCAGACAAACACAGGCAGTAGATTAGACTCCCAAGGACCTCAGGTAATAAAATAATTGGATAGACACCTATAAGACAGGTATGTCTAAAATGATTAAGTATATAAAAGGATTAAAAACACAAGAAATGAGTAAACCCTGCCTTGCCTTTTTCTGATGGATACTGCGAGGGAATGTTGGCCATGGAGCTGGCATCACCAGCTTCAGGGGCTGGCCAACCCTCCCAGGGACAGTGAAAGCTAATCTCCTCGAAGTGTGTGAGCCTGGGCAGGTATTTCACATTCTCTTTCCTGTTCTTCAGGATCATAAAGAAACTTGTCTGGACTTTCCTAATCAGCAGGGTCCAACCAAATTTGAAATGAGGACAGGTGGACTGGATTGAGATGGGAGCTGAACCAGGACAGCCACTGGGAGAGCCTGTCCTAGGGGGTATGGTGGGGGGAGGGTGCTGAGCCTGGGGGCCATGAGTGCAGTTGCATGGCTCTGCTTTCTCTCATATTCTTGCCTGTGCCAAGGCTACCACACGCCTCTGTCTTAGCCCATTTGGGCTGTTTTGACAGACTACCACAGACTGGTGGCTTATAAACAGCAGCTCTTCATTCAGGCTGCAAGTCCAAGGTCAGGGTGCCATCAGATTTGGTGTCTCTGAGGGTCTGTTTCCTGGTTCTTCTCTATCCTCACGTGGTGGAAGGAGCAAGGGTGCTCTCTGGGGTCTCCTTATAGGGGCTCTAACTCCATTTTTGAGAGCTCCACTCTCATGACCTAATCACCTCTCAAAGGCCCTGCCTCTAAACACCATCACATTGTGGATTAGGATTTCAACAGCCTCTTCTCATTCAGATTTGTAGATTTTAGGGTGCTGCTCTAATCCCCTTTTTGCAGATGAAACAGTGAGGCTTTAAGGGGCTGAGTCTGAGACCACATAGGTGAGAACATGGAGGAGGAGCTTACTGACACAAAGCCCGGTCTAGTAACCACATAAGACTGGTTTTCTTAAACAGGGCCAGCATTTCCAGACTCTATCCTGTGGAACACTATAGTCCTAAAGGATGATAACTTGGGATAAAAATTCTGTGGTCAAAGGCATTTGGGAAAGACAGCACACTGTGCGCCTCATAGAGCTTCATAATGCACAGTACGGGGCAAGAAATCTGGCTTGAAGAAACCCATTTAATGCTGTTCAACCTAGCATTTCCCACACTTAACAGATCCTAGAGCAGGGGTGGGCAAACTTTTGACTCGAGGGCCACAATGGGTTCTTAAACTGGACCGGAGGCCCGGAACAAAAGCATGGATGGAGTGTTTGTGTGAACTAATATAAATTCAAAGTAAGCATCATTAATAAAAGGGTACGGTACATCATTACATAAAAGGGTACGGTTTTTTTTTTGTTTTGTTTTGTTTTTTAGTTTTATTCATTTCAAACGGGCCGGATCCAGCCCGCGAGCCGTAGTTTGCCCACGGCTGTCCTAGAGTCCACATTTTTTTTGTTTTTTTCTTACAAAACAGTACTAATATATTAGCCATTGAGAAATGGAAATCAAACTACAATAAGATATCACTTCACACCCACTAGGGTGGCTGTGACTGAAAAGATAGGCGGTAACAGTGTCGGTGAGCATGTAGAGAAGTCAGAGCCCTCAAACTGGCTGGAATAGAAAGTGATGCTGTGGCTTTAGAGTTTCTCAAAATGGTAACTATAGAGTCATTCTGTAACCCAGCTATTCCACTGCTAGGTGTATACCCAAGAAAATGAAGGTGTATGTTCATGTATCTACACAGAACCTTGTACACAAGTTGTTCATGGCTGCATCATTTATAACAGCCAATGTAGAAACAACCAAATGTCCATCAGCAGATGATTCGATGAACTAAATGTGGTCTACCCAAGCAATGGAATATTATTCAATCATAAAAAAGAATGAATACTGACACATGCTACAACATGGATGATCCTTGAAAACATGCTGAATGAAAGAAGCCAGTCAGCAAAGGCCACACATTTTATGATTCCATTGATGTCTAATGTCCAGAATAGGAAAACCCAGATGACTGGTTGCTGGGGGAGAGGACGGATTAGGGGATGACCATTTTGATTTGAGGTTTCTGTTTGGGGAGATGAAATGTTCTCAAGTTGATTGTGTCGATGGTTGTACAACTCCGAATACACTCAAACTGAGTTGTACGCTCTAAATGGGTGAATTGGATTGTATGTGAATTATATGTCAAGCTGTTTTAAAAAATTAACTTGACATCCACCAGCACTCGGTTTCACAGCACAGTCTGGGAAGGGCTTCAGCAGACAACTTGGCTGCCACCTGAGCAGCCTCTGTGAATGTGGCAGTAGCTGTCCCATGTCACCTGCAGCTAGGTCACCCCATCGGAAGCATCATTGGAGACAAATGCTGTATGATTTCACTTACAGGTGGAATCTAACAAACAAAATGAAACACGTAAACTCAGAGATACAGAGAACGAACTGATATTTGCTAAAGGGGAGAGGGTGAAAGGTGGGTGAAAGGGGGAGGGGATCAACAAGTACAAAATTCCAGTCATAAAATAAGTCATGGGATGTAAAGGACAGCATAGGGAATATAGTCAATGATATTGTAATAACTACAGTGACAGGTGAGTACTAGGCTTACCATGGGGATCACTTCGTGTAAGGTTTGTAAATGTTGAGTCACTATGATGTACACCTGAAACTAATATATTGTATGTCAACTGTTATTGAAAAATAAAAACTAATGCAGGACCAGTCAAAAAAAAATTTTTTTAAAGCATCATCATTATTTGAGAAAGTATCACAGGGCAGGGATTCAGTGGGATCTTGTTGTGTCAAGAAGACATGCAGGACCTAAAGCAACAGCCACTCTGTCTAATGATTCGTACTCTGGTTACACTACTGCTCTTATGAAATACCTATGAGACCAAAAGCAAACAGGAGCCATGGGGAGTTTCGAAGTGGATCTGTGAGGCTGGGCTGAGTGCTATGTCATAGTGACTCTTCCCCCAACAGCACTAACTTTCTGTTAATCACTGCCACTGATGCCAGGTTATCTGAACTAACTGGTGGCCAGGGGGCACCTAAAAACTTTGGAGCTGGTTCCCCTGATCTTCTAGAGGTTCCGTTTCCACACTGACCACACCCTCTTCGCTTTCTTTCTAGTGAAAGCTGGTGGAATGCGAATCGTGCAGAAACACCCGCATTCTGGAGACACCAAAGAAGAGAAAGACAAGGACGAGGAGGAGTGGGAGACCGAGCCCAGGTAGGAGAGTGCTGGTGACTCTGAGCGTGTGGCACAAATACCATTATTCAGTTACACATTAATGTTTGTTCTCTGTCCTGTGCTTCTGATAACTCCTGGGCTGTTTGGGGCCGCTGCTGTGTATTTTTCCTTTTCTAATCAGCGGGGAGCGGGGGGGAGATATTTGTATTCTCAGCCTGGGGAGGAAAGGGGCATCTGGAACACACCCTCCCTGACTGCATCTGAGCATATGCCCTCAATCTGTGGGCAGCAGCCTGGAGACCTTGAAAATGCCACACCAGCTGAATCTTGGGTGGGCCTGGTGTTCTGTGCAGCCAGGGGAGAGAACTGTTGATTGTAAAAAGGTCCACACGCACCTGGGCTCTCCCAGTTCTTCAGCCAAATCGAGAATCAGCACAGCCACACACAGGTGTCCCTAAATGACATCTCGGTCCCAGCCCCCTGGCTCCCAGACAGCTCCTCTCCCTGCATTACAGCTCGTCTCCCTGCATTCCCCCATCTCTGTTAATGAACTATTTTCCTTGGAGGTTCTGATGTCAAGTTTGGTTCAAGGACCTGGGTATCGATCTGTATCCTCCTACCTTATAATACATAGACATGCACCAGAAATGCATATGCCTCCCTGAGCTTGTCCACATAGAAGAACGTGATCAATGAGCTTTCTACCTTACAACTTGTCGCTAGACAGTGTCTCCCCCAGAGGAGGAAAGAACGTGTAGGAAGGGTGTGGAAAGCAGCTAACCTGTATTCCTGTGGATTAGGCGCATTGTTTAGTTTCAGTCCAGTAGTCCTTAATAGGAGGTGTATTCTCCTGCTTTACCCATGGGAAACTCAAGTCCAGAGAGACGATAAACTTGCCCACACTGTGTGCCTTGCAAGTGGATGGGGCAGGAATTTAAACCCAAGCCTTACAGGGTCCTGAGCAGGCCAGGCTTCCAACTGAATTGCTCCTACAAGCTTGTGCCCCCTAGAAAGGAATGTGCATATTCTTGGTGGCCCCATGTGGGCCCCACCGGTCCGCTCATGTATGTGCTGAATCTCTGGATGTTTTCTGCAATCTTTGGATGCTATGAGTTACCCTGCAGTCACTTGATGGGCAGACAAAATTTGGGACGAAGTTTCTGAGTGACTTTTGCCCATTTTAAATCATGAGATCAGCAACCTGAAGGTCCAGCCAAGTTCCGGTTTTAAAAGAAGTGGTTTAAAGAAAACTAGCATTATCTTCCTCAGCAGCTATTTTCACAAAGCTGTGTTTGTAACATAACAGCATCAGTAACACCTACAGGTCCACAGTCCTGGGTCTGAAAATCTTGGGGCCTGCTTCAGTTCAGTGAAAAATTTAGGGGTTTTTGGACCAGTGATACAGACTTTAGGAGAATAAAAGAGTGCACATTCCAATTAGAGCCCCTAGTGGGGTTTTGGGCAGTGTATTGTGACCTGGTGTGATGTTCACATTTTCAAATCTACATGCTTGGGTCAGTTCAGATAAGTTTTGCTTCCGTACGAGTTATAAGGAAACTGAACTTTCAGAAGATTCTTGAATGAAGGATGAGAGCATGTGGGCCTGGAGATATTTCTGCACTAGAAAACCTGGGATGCCTCTTCTTCATATCCACTTGTTTCCTTAAGAGGGAAGAAAGAGGATGAGAGAGAAAGCCATGCCTGGAAAAAAAATTCCAGAAAGTTCATGTGATTGTAAGTGGCAGAAGGTACAAATAGCTTTTTCCTATGTAGCAGTGTCAATACAGTGAGAGGTGATAGTTTATTATCATGTTTATAAATAAGGACATAACAGCCCATGTGTTTTCTTTCTATTGATTTTTTTTCATGAGGTGGAATGTGGCATTTATGGAAGATGCGCCGTTTAAATAAATATGCCAAAGAATGAATGATTGCAGAGAAGGGAGCGGGCACCCAGGACTCTAGAGTGTAGCATCATGCTCACCACGAAGGTGTGTTCTCTCTGGAACCAAGGATTGCGTAGCAGGCTGACTGCAGAGTAGGGTTTGCGTAGCACACGAGCAAGGGTTCTTTGTTCCCTGCAGCCCAGTGGCTGTCATAGGTTTCCTGTAGGTGTGCTCGCTCTTGTCCTCCTGACTTCAGCTTTGCTCTTGGCACACCATGGGCAGGTGGGTGGGGTCAGCCTCCGTGGAGTCAAGCTGCTGACCTGTGCTCTGTGTGCCTGGTGCCCTGTGTACTGGTTTACTTCCACCACCGGGCTCTCCCCGTGTTCTCCCGGGCTGACTGAAGAGTTCTAGTCAGTCATCCTCCCTCATATTTTAGAGTGCAATGAGTCTGGCCCTGTTCCAGCAGCTCAGAGAGGGCAAGTAACTTTTCGAAGCTCACACAGTAATGAGTGGCCGAGCCAGCTTCCTAGCAGTGGCGGCTGGGTCCAGAGACCTCACCCTTAGCCACTAGGCTGTGCTTACCAATGGTGTGCCTGCTTGGTGCTGGGCACTGCTGAGTGCTTCAGTTGAGTTTAAAGCTCACACACCTGTGCGTTGCTATGACTGTGACCATGAGAAAGATGAAGAAACCAAGGCTTAGGAGGCTCTCCGACCCAGTGATACACAGCTGGTGGTGGCCAGTATGCTATTGAAGTCCCTGAATTGGCAGAATATTTCTAGGATCAACATAGACTGTGACTCTGGATCCCTTTATAAAATAAACGAATAAATTATGGGGTTGCCCATAACTGTTTCCATATTCCTCAAGCCCATAATCCTACCCGTGCAGCCTCACATCAGTAGGTGGTCTAATTGTCAGGGTAAAACGAGGTTTCAGTGCCTGGAAACACTTCAGGCCTATCTTTACTGCAGAGTTTGTCAAACGTTTAATTATTCTCTCGGAAGCGTCGTGGTGTGTGACTTCCACATCAAATTACCCTCATCCTGAAGTTTGCATGTTTTCAGGTTTGGATTAAGTGTTCTCTGGATATGAAAACAAGTACATGGTCTCAGGTGCCAATTTCCTCCCTTGGCTTTTCTTCCCATAGTTTTTTAAACTGGTGTTATGTTTACCCACTCATCTCTGGTGGTTCCCTTCCTCATTAATCTGATAATCAAGTACTGATTACAGGGACAATGAACAACTAGAGCATTAAAGAGGTTGTTCTGTGACCAAAAGTACTAATACCACAGCTTTTACTTGTAATTTTTTATTGCAAATATTTATACAACTCTTAATCCTTTCAATCTTAAGTTTTTTGGAGATTTACAAATAATTTCCCATGTTGTCAAATTGTTTTGAGGTGCTGCATTTTTTAAAAGAAATCTGAAAATGTTGCTCGAGAATTTCCGTCCAGCTGACTTCTAGTTACCTGTGGCCCTTTACATCCAAGAGGAGTAATAGGCTTCACTATTATTAACTAACTAGAGGCCCAGTGCACGAATTCGTGCATGGGTGGGGTCCCTCGGCCTGGCTGGTGATCGAGGCCTATGGGGGGGGGGAGGGCTGCAGGAGGTGGGCTGGCCGGCCGGGGAGGAAGCGGGGGAACGGGAGGTTGGCTATGGGAGCGCACTGACCCAGGGGGCAGCTCCGGCGTTGAGCATCTGCCCCCTGGTGGTCAGTATGCATCATAGCGACTGGTTGACCGGCCGTTCTGGTCATTCCGGTTGTTCGGTCATAATGGTCGCTTAGGCTTTTATATATATAGATACTTTCCTGAGTGGCTGCTGGTTTCTATCTTAGAACTGGCCCAATTAAGGAAAGCCATGATTTTCCTCAAAGCCTTTTGTTGAGCAAGTTGCATTATGTGAAGAAGTTGCAGACATAGCATGGAAATCAGGACTCAGTAGGAGCCACTAAAGAAAACAGTTTAGTGTCGAACATGTACTGAAGTCCTGTCAAGTACAAAGCCCAAATATGAATCTGGCTTGGTACAAGATAAAACAAAATAGGTGACGGGAAGAATGAACTAGAAATGGAAGGGTTTAGGTGTGGACTGGGGGTGGGCTGAGCTCAGTTCTTTACAGCTCTGGTTAGGATTGCAGTCCTGTTTCACATAACCCAAAAATAAGCATACAGCTCAAACCACCCATCATGTGGGAAAGACCTGTAATGGGATACAAGCATTAACAGATGAACCTAACTGTAATACAGATGTTTACATAGTTACTATAACCAATCGAAAGGAGTGGAAAGAAAAAAACCTAACCTAAGTAACTTTGGATACAGTATTTTGATCAAATACTATAAGGTTAAAAAAAATCATAAATGGTATACTCCAGTTAGTAAATATGTTTCTTACAGGAGTATATTGGATTAGCAATTCTGAAATTGCTTGATGTGTATACTAAGATTAAACAAATAAGTAAATATATTGTGGTAGAGAGAGCCAAGTTGCTTACTGTCAGAGAAAGAGGTTACAAATAGGTAAGGGAGAAGATTAAAATGAACTTTGTGGTGTTGAGTTGGAATTGGAAGTATTAGTATGAGCTCCTAGATTTAAATAGATGGATGGATGGGTGGGTGAATGGATGATGGGTGGTTGGGTGGATGGGTGGATGGATGGATGGATGGATAGGTAGATGGATACATGATTGGATGCATGAATGGATAGATGGATGGATAGTAGATATATACTCATATACATACATGCAGATATAGATCTAGATGGGGAGGATTAGTATGCACACCTACTGTTCCCAGCTGTGTTCACTGAGAAGATCTAAAAACAAACAAACAAACAAAAAACAATAAAACCTGACACCCATGTACCCATGAGCATCCTGAGGGCCCAGATCTTGGTTTTAAACACCATTACCCAATCAAGGGAACCAGGGTTTCTTGGAGAAGTGGTTAATTCCAGGGCCAGAGCAGGAAAAATAAATGTAAATAGATTTGCATGTTCCAAGCAGGAATAACGTGTAGTGCCAGAGCCCGAGGAAGTGCACTAAGCAGAACAGGGCTTGTCAGAACAGCACAGGCACCAGCGTGAAAGCACCCGAGTTGGCTGCGAGCACGCTGATGGCATCGGAGAGGCTGCTAGGGAGGGCGAG